TTTGAAGATCTAGGCTCTTAAGAGAATAAAAATCAGTCATAATTTCTCGACGCTGGTCTTCTGTAAATACATGACATTTTTTGCCAAATTTCTTGCAGTAATCGCTTGAATAAGCTGATTTAAGTAATTTTGGAGGGACTAAATTCATTTTATTAAAAATTGTGTAATCTTTGCAAACTAGTTTCCTTTTCTTAACTTCTTTTAAGTATGCATTTCGACTTTCTTTCTGCTTAAAGGGTATCCCTGTTTCCGTTCGAAAATTTCTGTTGTCCCAGAAAAATTATTGTCGTCAATGTTATTATTAACGTAGTTAGTACACAGTTTATGCTTTTCGCAACCTAAATTTTCCTCGAAGTGATTTTGCATCCAATAAACTCACAATGCTGCTGAAAGTGTTTTTCATGATCTGTAATATCCTTAGAAACTTTATATTTATCTTTTTCACGTATTGTTTTGGCAAGCCCTTTTGAGTCTCAATCGTCGTTATCATGAGCAATAGAAATTTCACCAAAGTAATGCCTATTACAAAGCCAAAATCCGCAGCCGCAAAACTGTTCCCCCTTTTCGTTGCAATGCTTAAACTCACAATCGAGTACGAAATTTTCGTCAAGCCATGAGTCATCAGAATCATTCACGAACTTGGGAATATCGTCAATATCTATTTTAGGATCTAAAAAAATCACCTTTTAGTTTTTATTTATAAGTATTAAAAGTACAGGTCTTCCACAAGTTATCTGGTTTATCGATGCATATATTCGAAATAATATTCATTTTCGGCTTTTTCGATTGACGCATGGAACAACTTGAAACATTGTTGGAATTTTTAATACAACCTACCCTTATATATACCCTTAAAACTGAGAGTGGAATATCATCAGTGTCATCCCAGCAATCTCTCGACAAATATCTCGCCTCGGTACTAATTTTCTTTAAGATTGATATTGGTATTTCATAGTAATCTTCAGATAAATCACTTATTTCTAAAAAAGAGCAAAAGCAATGTTTTAGTAAGTAAATTATAATATCTACATATAAAGGCGAGTTCATGCACAGAAACATAACATAAGATAGATAACATGAATCACGACAAATAACAAAACAACAAACAAACACAGTAACTAGATCTTTTATATCTACTACATTTTTAGAACCGTCTTTCCACAACACTATTTTCGGAGAAAAACACGACAAAACCTTAACACAACAGCAACACAATTATATACGTAACAACGCGTGCAACCAATTTTTAGGTTAAAATACGCACCGGGTAATTCCTCGAACTGGTCAATATTGAGATTCGCCCATATGGCACAACATTAAGCTGGGTTCAAAACGAGGCGATAATAAAATACGCCTGTTTGAAAAAGTTAAACATTTTCATTTTATACATCGGCCTAAATTAAAATATTAAATATTAACTGTAGATAGACATAGATACTATTCAACCATCATATAAGCCCAAAATAGCATTTTTTCATATTCGCCTTTTAGTGAATTTGGGAAAGATTTATAGCTGTTCAAACTTATGCCCAGAGAAGCTGCTATGGCAGATTTTTTTTCTCCACAGTTCCAACGATCTATAATTTTCTTCTTCACTTCTACACTGAACACTTTACGTTTCTTTTTTTGCGAGTTATCTATTGCGCGATATAGTTTACAGCATGTTGATAATTTTTAGGGTCGGGGAATTACCCACGTCAACTGTCGACGCTATGCGGGTAGGTGGGTTGTTCGTTTGAAAGCCAAATGTTTGTCTTTACATCCTGTAGGAAATAGATTAAAATTTGACTATCCTACACTATTTTGTATTTGTAATTAATTTGAATAGTAGGTACCTAAACAAATATTCATTTTGTTGATTCATGTATTGCGCTTAATGGTAACTACCATATTTTTGTTCTTTATTAGTTTAATATAATAATCAATGGGTTTAAATATCTAAACCAGAACGTAATTTCAATTTAATTAAAAAGTATGTCGATAACTGTTAAATTAAAAAAAAATATACTTAAACCATTAAATTCTATTTAATAGGTTGTTTTGGACATATTTTCAAGATATCCAAGATTTAGTTACAGCGACTTTTTTAAAATGTACGTTTTTCAGGAACACCCTTCAACGCTGAAACGGTAACCGATAGCTACATGCTTTCTTTACCAATATATGTTTTATGAAAATTAAGCGATAGCGATATCAGTTTTCATCTAATTTAGAAAGGGAATTTTCAATTTAAAGTGACAATTATATTAATAGGTAAAGAAAAATAAATTAACAATTTTTATTATTATATGCAAATAATTCATCGTATGCTACTATTTTGGTATGTTTATTTTTTTAAGTAAGCTATTTAAAATACACTTTTTGCGTATTCTATTTTTTTCGTAACGCGTTATATTTTTGATAAAAATAAATAAAAACTGTTTTCGCGCATATTCGTAGACCACTTAAAACAAAAACTTATAATCCAAGCAAAAAATATTAAATATTTGCTAAAATGTAATACTACATTAAAATAAATGCAGTTTTTTGTAATAGTAAGTAGCGTATTTCAACATCAATTTTTAACACTGGAAAAAAAGCGCCTCGATTCACCAGATTTATTTTGTTTGTTAGAAAATGGGTATGAAAAATTCACAAAAATTTTTCACAATGATCAAAGCAAGGGTGGCACCTACGGAACACAGATTGTGCAGTTGCACGACTCTACGCTGATGTAATCTCTTGGGTCACTTGCACAATCATTCCCATCGTTGATGAGCTCTTCTCTTCGTAAACTTTGCTTTTCATTGTACCCCCTCCTCCTAGGTGCAGTCTCTGTTGAGGTTGGCGATCACCATGACAAATGTATGTCTATGTTGGGCTTAATGGATTAAGGTATTACCATCTGTGCCTATCCAGTCTCGTATGTTTCTCAACCACGATTTCTTTTTTCTTCCTATACCCCTTCAATCTTCCCTTGCAGTATTAATTGTACCTGTTCATATTCTATGTGTCGCACTATATGACCTAGATTGGTTGTTTTTCTTCTACATTGGTCGTTCTATATTGCCAAATTTCAAACGCTTCCAGCCTCCTGAGATCCTCCCGCTTTAAAATCCAGATCTCACATCCATATAAGAGTAACGGCCACACAGCACCGGAAGAAAAATCCAATGAGGTTAAATCAGAAGATTGCGAGACTTCACCACGGCCTGTCCATCTTTTTGGAAAATTGTTGTGCAGCCATCGTTGAACTGGTAAAGTGTCATGTCATCTCACTGGAACCATCTCTATGTTCTAGTAAAAAAGGCATCTCATCTATGCTTCAAAATCATTTTCTATAATATGATGGAATGCTGGGCCGCTTAGTAGCGGAAGCAAAAAATATGGACTGATGAGTGAGTCGATCTAAATATTGAAAATGGCATCATTTATTATTTACCCCAGATATCTTTCAGAAAATTCTCTTCTTCGTTGCATATCATCAACTAGTAAATTCTGGACTGTCTGTAGAACATATCCTCGTACTATTGCAAGATATTTTCCGTTCTTTTTATTTTTGGAGGGATGCAAAAATTCCATCTACTCGAAATTGTAATGTGGTTGATGGTGTTTTTTGCACGATGAAAAGTAGTGGTAAATTCTTACTTGTCAAAATATCCACGTATTCAGCTGCAATGTGAATGGTGATTCCAAAAAATACGCATAAACGCACTTAAAATGATTTGAAATTTGAATTAGTCAACACTAGGGAACACAGAGATAGTTCGGCAACTCTTTTAATTAATCAAATAGTTAATAATATTTATGTTATTCGAAGAAATTGAAATAAAAGACATGCCAGTTTAATGTTTATTGAGAACACAATTCTTAAAAATACATAAATTAATGCTGACGGAATATTTCTATTTAGACACATTAATAATACGTAAACATTTAAACTACTTTGAATTATATAATAATTAATCAATATAATATAATATAATTAATACAAAGGTCATATATAGACGTTACAATTTCAAAGAATCCACATTGTGAATTTTTTTTCAAATATTTTTGATGAGTTTATAATTTCTTACTAGCATAAAGTTTATTTGGATCAGATGTATTTTTCAATTGTTGTTTTCACCTTAAAATTGAATTATTATTATTAATCTAAAAATTAAAATTGCTTATCACATGAGAATATATTTTCTTTGCAATAATTTTTTAAAACAAGTTGTAAAACCTCGGATATATTTTAATAGTAACAAATTTGAGGTAAAATGTTGTATGATGCATGAATTTTTTGTAGTGATTTACTTTTTATGTCCAAACGGCGCAGAAGTCAACCGCTGGTTGCAAATCTCAAAATCAAAAAAAAATTAGGTAATAAATTTAAGATTTCCAAGATTCACTTACAGAGACTTGTTTTAAACGGTGGAAATATTAATTCCACTGATGTATAAGTCGCATTATATTAGAATAAACTTAAAAGATACTGTCTATAATGATATGTAACGCAAGTCTCTTAAAATGTATTTATTGTTTAACTAAAAAAGTGATGTATTTGAAACCCTCTCTTACTAGAATTAGCACAGTCAACTGCATAGCACATATTCACCATGATTTAAGTTTTTAAAAGTCGGTTGAAATAAGCCTCGGAGAAACGCAAGGCAATGATAAACTCTTTCCTAGTCACAGAATAGTAAAGTCAGTTTTGGAAAGGAAGACACAATAGCATCAAGCTAAATTCACTACTAGGGCACCTCAATTATATGGGCCAGTTTTGGCCATGACAAAAACAAATCTTCAATAACAATAATATTTATAACCAGAATTTTATTAAAATGGCATTTTTCCTCATTCGAAAACAAACAAACAAACCCAACTTATTGGCTGTTTAACACTGGATCACCCTGTATATATGATGTAAACAATTCTAATGGACGGTTATCACTATCATTTTGTGCAAGGTTATATCTTATCGACATTCACTTATAATATGCGTAAGTCGTATAATGAATATATTTTTTTTTTAGTCTGCTCTCATCCATAAGGACAGTCAGCCGTCCAAAGAGAACCTCGAGTATCTCAAGGACGCGTTCGCCATATTGGACAAACTACTCCAGGGGAAAGACTATATCGCCGGGGGTAGCCTGTCTATCGCAGACTTCAGTATTCTGTCATCGGTGACAGCATGGGAGACCTTTGTTCCCACCAAAGATTTTCCCAATATCGTCAAATATGTCCAGCGGATGCAGAAGCTGCCGTTCTCCAAAGTCAACTTGAAAGGCGTAGAAGAATTAAAATCGCTCCTCAGTGGCAAGCTTAAAGCTTAAAATTCACACATCATTTCGCAGGCATACACATTGTATTGTTCATATTGTGCATATACATACTATTTATATTGTAATTAATTATAACTAATAAAGGACCAAAATAAAAGTGTAGTCATCTCTTCATGAAAATGAATATACATATTTTAAACAACGTAATTTCAACATAAACAACTATACCCATCTTATGTAGTCTTGTAAAGTATTTAAAACCAACTAGATCAACGAGCAAGAGCAATTCCTGATTTTTTGATATAAACTTCATATTGCTCTCAGTTTTGTGACTTAAATAGTACAACTTTCAGCAATTTAAGCATCAATTTTACAGAGCTACGCAATAAATTTACACATTACATTTCCTGACATATGCAGACTGGTTTACGTTTACCAAACAGATCGAGACGATGCGTCGGGTCGTAACTCACAATCCAAGTTTTTTGAACTAGACGATCACTATGACCCGTGATTGTCCCTACAAAGTGTCGCGAATTACCATTGGATGCTTACAGAATGCGGGAAGAAGGATAGGAGTGTTCCGATAATATCTCATCTTTTATGCGGGACACTTCTCGTTGGAGTCAGATATCCAAAATTGATGAATAAATGAACAGCACAAATACTCGGTATAACGGTTGCAACTAATAGAAAAATGACTCGAAAGATTTGATATAAAATGCTTTCAGAGAGATATAACAGTGACCGCGCTAGATCAGACAATAAGGCATTGTCAAACAGGAAAAAAGCTGAGTGCTCAAATTATTTTGAGGAACAACGCTGTAACGTGTTCCCAATTATTTTTTAACACGAAAGTTGCTAATTCCATAAGTTAAAACCTAAAAAAATAGTTTTGATTAGTTATGGATAGTTTGTTTTTGTTTGTTCACACGAATTAACCACCACAGGTTTAATTATGGGCTTAAAAATCATTAACACATTTTTTTTAATCTACAACATTTGTGCTGTAAGTTAGAAAATGTATACCGGGTGACACAAGAACATGGGAACACTCTATCACTTTTAAACGGCTTGAGATAGCTATTTGAAATTTGGAAGGGTTAATACAGTACAACAGTAACTTTCGAATTTTAAATGGCGCAACCTATATTTTTTTGCATTTTCGTTTTTCTCATTTTTTTTGTTTTTTTTTTTTAATTTTTATTTAATTTTTGAAAATTGTGTCTAGGAGGCTGTGACCATCATAAATACTATTTACCGAATCACCTGATCATGGGAAAAATTGTAAATGAAACTTTTCTCTACTTGTCTAATGACAAATAGCATTTGATGTAACGTACTATTAACTTTTTATTATAACCTAGTTTTTTTAAAGCACTCTAGTGGGAACAAAAACTTTTTAAAAGCGGTACTTTTTTTGACCAAAACTAACTAACCAAAATTTTGAAAATCCCTTGAAAAATAAGCTCACAGGAAGGAAAAAAGTAAGTAAATTCATTTTTATAAAAACAAAATATTACTTAGGTGGCTTTACTTCTATTCATCATCAAGTAGGCATGATTGAAAATTCTCGCAGTTTGTACATTTATATCTGATAATCGATTTTGTCGTGTTATCGATTTGGATTATCATGGAAAACAATAATCAATTTGCAGTTGGAGAAAAAGTTAACATGTTTCTAATATACGAGGAATGCAGAAAAAACTCTCAACAGGCCCGTGCATTGTATGCGCCCGCTCTCCGGGACGTCGCCTTCCTGCACATTCTTTCTTTAGATAAACATGACGAGAATAATAATTTCGTTAACTTAATTTTGTTCATTAATGAGTCGCGATACTCAAATAATGCTATGTTTAACCGACAGAACAACAGATACTGATCTTTAAATAATCAAAGAATTATTCGTCCCGGACAGTTTCAAGAACGGCTCGGAATCAATGTTTGGGCAGCAGTAATAGGAAGGTGAATTATTGGACCTTTTTTTTTCACGGTGCCTTAACTAGTGCACGACATCTACAATTAGATGATTTACCTCTTGCCGTGACATTAAATATGAATTTTCAGCAGAATGGCGCGTCTCTCCATAATTTTAGAGATGTCACTGAACACCTATGTGATGTTTATGGGGATATACCAATCTCGATACACGGTCCAGTCAATTGATTTTTTTTGTTTGGGGGTACGTGAGAGACCGTGTTTATGTAACTCAAGTGTTCGGCCTGCAAGAATAACAGCGGATAATTCCAGCAATGTTAGGAAGGGTTACAGCGAATATAATTTCTATAGCCAGGGAGTGTCGTATAGAAGAAGGAGGACATTTTCAAAACATTCTATGAAAGTTTCATCTTAAAATAAACTGGTTATTAAGTAAATATCTATGACACTTATTTAATTGAAACAAATGCAAAACTCCAGTTCCAAAATAAACACTAATCTGTTTGTTTCTTCTGTATTTTTAATCTTACCGACTTCACAATTAATAATGAATAGAAGCAAAGCCACCTAAGTAACATTTTGTGTTTAAAAAATGTATTTACTTATCTGGTTTTTTTCTTCCTGTGAGCTTATTAGGGTGCTATTTGAAAAAACTAGGTTATTCTAAAAAATTAATAGTTCATAACATTAAATGCTATTTGCTGCTAGACAAGTAAAGAAAAGTTTCATTTACAATTTTTCCAATGATCAGGTGACCCGGTAAATAGTATTTATGATGGTCACAGCCTCCTAGACACAATTTTCAAAAATTAACTGAAAATTTTAAAAAAAGAAAAAAAAAGAAAAAACCGTCCGATCCTAAGTAGAATGATCGCCTGAATCCAAACATGGAAAGAGATATAGGTTGTGCTATATAAACTTCGAAAGTTACTTCCCGCTCAAACCGGAAGTGCAAACATTTACTACATAATGTCAAAAAATTGGACATTCAGCCTGTATTAACCCTTCCAAATTTCAAATCGCTATCTCAAGCCGTTTAAAAGTAATATAATGTTGTCACTTTCTTGTGTCACCCGGTATATAGCATTGAAGACATAATAACGTAACACTGTATGTCCCGATTTTCTTTCCTTCTCCTTCTCCTTCTCCCTTCTGTAAAATACCTAATTATACACCTAGCGTGCGGAAATTGTCACTTTACCACGTCAGTCACGGGTTCGAGGGCAATCGAATGTTGAGATTTTACCGCACGGCTTGAATTTTGACGTTTGTCAATGAATGTACTTATGTTGTTTTGCAAAAATGTATCCAAAAACGAACGGCCGTACAATTAGTATAGTATGCAACACCTTTGGAAAACTTGCCGTTTACCACATTTGTTGCATAATATACTATTTTATGCTGAATGCTTTTAAATTTTCTAAAAGCTAAATTTTTCTATAACGCTCTTCAAAAAAAGTTGAAATTTCCCACTTTCTATTTAATCCTGAAGCCTTATCTAGTTTTGGTTAGTTTTGAAGGAAAGAATGCGGTATTACTTTTGTATTTAAAATTTTTTGATATCACTTATGGTGAAACGGAAGTATACAGAAATAAGGAGCTCCCTGTGTATATGTAACATTTCAATTCACATCCCCGCTCTAAAGTAATGGGTGATCCTCTTCTTAATGATGCCCTCATTTCACTTTTTTATTTCAAGTGTGCCAAACAAATTAATATACAGTAAAAACAATATTCCGTTTATAACCAATTAATTTAATAATTAATAAACAAACCAAGAAGAAAAAAGCTAAAAAAAGATTCTCTGGAGATATTTTAATGTAGATTCGGATTGGATCGGAAACAAATTTAAAAAACGGCAAACAAATTATTCGAAATTGCTTTGGTCCAATGTGTAAAATAATGTCGAACGGGGTCAATATCTTATCCAAATTGATTAATAAATAGAATGTGGTTGACTATTATTATTGTTCCGCTTATCAATAGGTTTAATTAGATCCGCTACACTCAATTTCTAAATCAAACAAAGAATTAAAATATAACTGGGTACTTTAATTGATAATAATAATAATAAGCTTTATTGTCTAAGAGATATAATATCCAATGACAGGACAATTAGTTCTCTAAGCTAACAAAAACAAAGAATGAAAATACCGAATACCGAATATGCACAAATAACAAACACAGGAAAACAAACAAAAGCAACCATATAAAGAACTTCATATATTAAAAAAAGAAAAAATAAAAAAAATCACCTGAATCTTTTAACGCCAAAGAAAATTATGCCGTTGTTACATCATTGTTATCTATACTACAAATACAATTAAAAATGTACACTGCTTCAAAGAGTGGACTTCTAAACAAAAAGTTTGTGGAGACAGTCTCTAGGAGATTTATTAACTAAAGTTAGTATTTCGAATCGCCTTCAGAGAATATTGTGATCAAAGCGTCTCTGTGGAAAGATACCACCACACATAAAAGCTAAAAATTTTAAAAATTTCGGTTGGACTTTTTCAACTTGAATAATATATTTACTGAAATTAGGCTGCAACCGAAAACTTAGTATCAACTAAAACTCCCAAATATTGATTACGGACAACTCTAAATATTTTCCCATCATCTGTGTTAGCACTATATTGAACCGCCACTGTGTTAAAAGAAAGTCAATGCTTCGATGCATAAGCCCCGGGCACTGGGGCGATACAGAATCACCATGGACCTCAAACCGTATGGACTCGTCTAGTTCGTTTCCCACAATCTTAGTGAATTAATACCAACAGCCTAAATCTAACATCAGAAATGGGATTGATCGAGTGTACAGTACCATTATTGTTTTAAATTAATACCGAAGACAACGCTACCGTAGTGAGAGCCCTTATTTTTTTTCTGTTCTGTTCTGTGTTTACTGTTAAATATTCCATCTAATGACCACAAATAAGTAAAGCTATACACATTATTCTGGAAAGCCCAACAAATGTTCTAAATTTAAATAAAGTCACAGCCGACAATTTCGTTGGCAAATGTTTTTGTTTTGTTGACTCAGCCCTTAATAATAATAATTATAATGGCATCACCGGAACATTTAACGACCTACATAAAATTCGAAAATATGACCGTTTAAAAATTCCAACACCCAACAGGGTACTCTAGTTGCATAAAGTCGCACCTCCATAACTTAAAATGCCATGGTGTTTGGATGAGTCATGTTAACATATACTGTTAACGTTATCACACTAA